TCACTTCCACTGCTACATTTAATCTATACAAAATAATTAAGATCTTTATACATAACTGAAAATACCACCTTTTTGAGCAATCATGAGCTATAAATTCAAAGGAATTTAATTAAATTCCATTCAGTTAGTGGAGGTTAATACTGTAGTTAATACTGGTAATTCTCACATTATACATTCTTATTAATTTCATACAACAATAAATTCCAACAACATTTCTCATCTATATATAGCATCCTTTTTTTTTTTTTGGTGTGGTTCATGTGTAATTTAAATTGTGTTTAAATTAATAAAAAGGGGTAACTGCAGTAATAACATGGTAATAATATGGTAACATTCAAAACTTTTTAGAATTTTTGAATTTTGCCTACCATTTTTTTCATAATAAGCATCACTTCCACTACTAAATTTAATCTATACGAAATAATTTAAAGCCCATTATACATAACTGAAAATGACACCTTTTATTAATTAATACATTAACAAATAAATTATTAATTTTGAGTTATATATTTGCTTATCACCTTATTTTTTTAACTCCTTTTTAATTTGCAAAGAGAAGTACCTATTTCTTATTCATTGTCACAGTTTCAGTTTTTCCACTATTCATGAGTTCAAAAATATCAATAAAACCTTTCCATCACATCACTTTATTTCCCAAAAAATAAGAATGAAGATGTTATCAAATTTATATATATGCGTGCGTGTGTGTGTGTGAGCGTTAATGCACTTATCAAACTAACAAAAGCAGTCAAATGTTAAAAGTTTCAACTTTTAACTTACAATCTGCAAAGCAGGGGCAAAAGTGGAAATCAGGATTAGGCATAAAATAATATCATACATGTGAAAATGGGCTAAGAATTGAACCGTTGTAATCTTCTCAGATTCTGACAGGATTCATGTGTTTGGGTCAGTTTTTCTGCCGATTAAGAGAGAATACAAGATATTTCTCACCTTACAAATGGTCATCAAAATCAAAAATGCTATGAAATATTTTGTGGGAAAGTGAGATGTGTTTGAGCAAAAACTGACAATTTTTGGAATCAGCACCTCAAAATTTGTACGAATGTACTAATTAGTAAGAACACATATCGGATTTCATTCAGGAAAATATGATCCATGGCTGTGTAATCTGTGCACTTTTGAAATTTTTGGTCAGAATAGGCTGCAATCCGGATGGGATTTAATGCTGATGTCTGGCTATATGAGGCTACCTGTTCCATTTGTTGTGTAAAAAGACCCAACTGTGGTAGGTGACTTTACATGTCAGTACCTTCCTGTCTGAGAGGGTGGTTTCAGACCAGAATAAGCGATGCAGCATAGAGGCTAATAACTCACCTCCTGATGCGCTGAGAGACTGCATCTCCCTCTCCCTGCGGTCCAGCTCAGCGGCTTTTCTCTCCAGCTCCTCCTGTCTCTGCAACAACTCCGCTTGGGCTCGCGCCTGATCCTACAGACACACAGACACAAGATGGTTATGAACACAAAGTAATTCTGCTTACAGGCAGAGCAGAGCATGACTTCAGGAGAGTCAACATCAAAACACACCAAAGGCATTTTCTCAGACGCAGCTGTCAGAACCAATCACAAACATGCCTGAAACTCAGACCCGTGAGGGCCGATCTCCGTCTGACTGACAATGCAAGTCTTGTCTTGTTTATTCACGGCATATCTTATCTGGCTAATCGTTATACACTGTAAATTTGAATAAGCCTCTACTTATATCATAACTGATTATGGCAGGACATCTGACCTCAAACGAAGCATGTTTGAGCTACACTACCATTCACAAGTATTCTCTTCTGCTCACCAAGGCTGCATTTATTTGATCAAAAATACAGTAAAATATGAAAAATTCATGTGAAATGTGAATAATATACTATTTAAAATTTCTATTTTCTGTGAAAATATTTTCAAATATTATTGATTGTTGTGATGCGCAGCTGAATTTTCAGAATCATTACTCCGGTCTTCAGTGTCACATGATCTTCAGAAATCATTCATATATGCTGATTTTCTGCTCAAGAAACATTTCTGATTATTATCAATGTTGAAAACAGTTGTGCTGCCCAATATTTTTGTGAAACCCGTGATACATTTTTATTTTTCAGGATTCTTTGATGAATAGAAAGTTCAAAAGAATAGCATTTATTTGAAAGAGAAATCGTTTGTAACATTATAAATGTCTTTGCTGTCACTTTTAATTCATTTAATGCTTCCTTGCTGAATAAAAAGTATTAAGTTTTTAATTAACTTTTTAACAGTTGTGTACTTGTGTACATTCACACATGTACATACTAGATGATTTTAGTACAAAGTCAATACTAAATGTAAAAAAAATACATAAAAAAACTTTTTTAAATGACACTATATATATAGTTTATGTAATATAAATTCATATATAATATAATATATTGATAGATCAAACAAGTGAAAATCTGTTTTTTTTTTACACTAGTTTCATTTAGTTAATAAATAAAGTATATATTATTTACTATATTGAATATAATTTAATATGATATAATAAAATAGAATAGAATTTATTAACTGATTAAATAAGAGAAAACCACTCAATTTTTTTGTATTACTTCATTGAAAATGCAATTATTACTTGAAAATGCAAAATGTTTACTTAGTTGTGCAATACTTAAAAGCTTCATGCCATTGTTTTAATATATATTTTTTAAATGAATATTTACTAAAATATTAAATATCGATACAAAATAAATTAATTCAATATTAATATACAGGTATTCAGCGCATATCTGGTCAGTACAATAACACACAACAACATCACAGTCTCTATTATCATCAAAAAACAGTAAATCATATGATCAAATATAATAAATAGTCACGACATAAAAACTGAACTGGCTGTAGTGTAAATCTAGCGTGGGATGTGAGAGTTCATTGTTTGTACACCATACTCTTTAGCAAGAGTTTGAGTTTGAAAATGAGTTAAGCACTTTTGTATTAGAAGACGACTTTCAAAGTCCCGAAACTTTCAGCATGTAATGTTTCCTTCATAATTTTGTGGAAACCATGATACATTTTTTAATGATTCTTTGAAGAATATAAAGTTCAAAAGAACAGCATTTATTTGAAATAGAAATCTGTCTTTGATGTCTTTACTGTCACTTTTGATCAATTTCATGCAATTTTAAAGATTATTTGCACTCTACTGTTTAGCAAATGCACTTAGTGGAGTTTAAAAAATTGTGGGGTTTTTTTGTTGGTTTTTTTATTAGTAAACAATTTTCAAAGTCCCTAAACCAGGCACGGCGCCAGAATTTTTTCTCTACTGGTGCTAAGGGGGGGCTAGACCAATATGTGGGGGTGCTAAGAAAATAAATGATATTGATGACGTCAGAGTAAACCGGGGCTATTCAAAATTCTGACGAGGCTATAGCCCCCCCTAGCCCCGGTGTAGCGCCGTCACTGCCCTAAACTTTCAGCATGAATGATACGAATGAATACTGCTGTAAAGATGTTGCAACCAAAAATAAAGTCCCAGCCGCACTGGACCTCATAGCGGTGACTCATCCTGCACTCGTTACAGCAGCGTCCCAGTTAAGACAGATTATAATTTTAAGAATCACTCTTATCTAAGCCAATCTGTTGACGCATACTGTCTTGTTTCTGGGTCATTTTAAGGGCTCAGAAATCTCAGCTTTCCCTGAAGGCAGCATCATGTGACACACTCGGCTTAATAAAGCCAGTGGGCAACAAGTCCTTTAACAAGCCTTCTGTTGTCACCCTGAGGCTCAACTCCTCTCCGCTGCTACAACAAACTAAAGACTACAGCGACAGACCCTGAGCTTCTGATTCGGCCTCCTCCTGAAGATCTGGATCACCTTGTTGTGTCCTAACTCAAAGCATCTGAAGTTACACATGGAGCCCGAGCGTGTGAGTCATCTGACGCACACCCAAAGCGTGCCGGTGTGTCCATATGTCTGGAGCGAGGCAGCCCTGTCCCGCAGGCGTGCTGAATTATACAGTATAAGCTCACTCGTGAGCAGACCGGCTCACAGCTCTTGCCTGCTGGAAGCTTCTGTTGTCCTACTGAGGATATTTCTGTGAAATCAAGGAGGATTTTCAACACCGAATACCCTCTGACAGAATCATCTGCATCAGGGATTGTGCTTCACACAGACCCAACTGGGGGTTTAAGGTTTCAGAAGGAAACTTCATGCAGTCAATTAACACAAAATTATTTAGACTCATCCCTCAGTGTTTATAAATGAACAGGAAACACATTTAAAGGACTAGACTTACAGCGAAAGCCTTCTTTAATATAACCACCACAACTAGGGCTGCATGATTAATTGGAATAAATCAGAAATTGTAATATGGCTTAGTGCGGTTATCAAATTGCAAAGGCTGTGACTTAATTAAATAAATATGTGCTGCGTGTTACAGAGTGAAATGTGGCACTGTGTTCATTTACATGTGAGCAGCTCATCAACTTGTAATGAAAACTGGCTGTTGTCAACAAAAGAGAAGCTTTAAGGGCTCACTGCAGATTTTTTGCCAAAATAAAAATGTGTTGGTTTGATGTTTAAAAATAGACATAATTATTAGTATTGTAATTTTACAGATGTACTATGAAATAAATTATTATATTATTATTTTTCTTGAATAATTTATTTGATTTATTTTTATTCAGTAATAATAATATATATATATATATATATATATATATATATACATACATACATACAGTATATATATGTAATCCTTTATTCATGTAATTTTTATGAATAATAATTATTATTATTAATTACAGTTGTATTGATATAGTGAAAAGACATTTTAAATGGCAATTGCAATTTTTTCTTAAAAAAACAAAAACAAAAAGAATCCCTCCCCCCAAATCATGCAGCCTTAACCAAAATATTGTAATATCAGAAAGGGACATGATGCAACCATCTATAAAGCACTGTTCATCCCCTGAGAACATTAGTGCAATGTCAAATGGACGATTTAGACAACTTTTTACCGGAACTTTTTCTACTTTTTGGCTGCTATACTTTCATTTTAAGTGCATTAATTAGAGAATGAAGTGAGATGCATGTACCTGTGTCTGCTGAGGTTGAGTGTAGGCTGGCGGTTCTTCGGTGGGTTTCATGATGGCTGGCTGTGTGTTTGCTGTGGGTGGGACTGATTTAGGGGCGGAGCCTGGCGGGACCTATAATGCCACAAAATAAAACATGAGATATTGTCGTGCAAAACACCTCACGATTTCACCTCATCTGCAACACAATAACAACATAACATCTTTTCTTTTCATTCATAAATCCAGACTGACTGGATGTGTTTGACTATGTTTCGAATGTTCTGGATCATCCAGAAATAAAGCAATTTATGTGCACAATTAAGGAAAGGGAAAAAATGTAACATAAATGCCTTCAGTCGACTGAATGGCACAAAATCTGACGGGTTTGTGCTGTAAGTGTGGGCTGTTCTGGGCAGCGAGCCATACGCTGGTACAGCTTCACTAGTTATACCACACTGTGAATGATGTTATTTGTTGGTACTGTATGTATGCTGTTTGTTTCCTTGCCTGCATCTCTCTCTCGTTCAGAAAGAAACATCCTACTCATACTAAATCTGAATGTATGCAGTGCACTCTATACACACATTTGGATGACCTACAACATTTGCCAAAATGTGCAGTATAAAACAGAGCACACCGCATGGAATACTGCATCCCACAATGCAATGTACTCACCTTGACCTTCCATTACCAGCGTGATGAAGGAAATTAACGTCAGCCACTACCTCACTGTTTGATTACATACAACAAAGTATTTACTATGTATGTAACAGTGTTATTATAGTTAACTAAAACCATAAAAAATATTTGTAACTTGAAATTAAATAACTGTTAATTTAAATAAATTAAAAACTTATTTCAGATATTTCTCATTTTCAGTTAGTTTCACTTGATGTACTAAAATAAATAAAACAACAAAAAAAATAATAAAACTATATAGAAATATTTTTAAACTAGTAATAATAATTTAAAAAACATCACAATTACTAAAACTTTAAAAAATTTAAATTAAAAGAAAACTTAAAAATAAAAATTACTTTAAAATATTAATACAAACTATAATAGTATCTCAATAGTACCAAAATAACACTGGTACAGCCAGCCAGCCTCCCTCCCTCTCTTTTCTCTGGACCAGAGTGTGTTGGCGGATGGTATTTTCGAGCCGTTCTAATTATTATTGTCCTTAGAAAACCTGTACATTTGTTAATTTTATACATAGTACGTTTTATACATATTTTATACATAGTAAGTCTCATATAAGAGTCAGTGTGTCCCTGTCCTGGGGGTCTCACCGGCTTTGTGTCTGTGAAAGGGTTATACTCCTCCAGGCCAGGCGGGGCAGTCTGCGTTACTTGTGTCACTGATGGATCCTGCAAAAAACACAGAGAGGAAACAGCCTTTAAGTATTTGTATGTTTAGGATATTTCACCTAGATATTATTTTACACAATTTGCACACACCTGTATAAAGGTTTTCTGTACTCTTGTTACTTGTACTATTAAGGTTTTAACCTGATTGTCTGACTTTATGCATCAATCTGGTACTTTTTAATAGTGTTAATTTTGTTAATGAAAACTATGATGAAAAATATTTGTTGATGACCTTTCTTTCATCAGCATCATTAAACACTTTAAACATTATTAAACACATGAAACTCTGATTATACAGGGCTCCAGACTGTGCCTAAAACGGTGGCATTTGCGACCAAAAATATTTATTTGCGAGCGAAGTTTCTGGTGATCGCCACTGGCGACTATATAAATGTACATGTTATGATTTAAAAATGTGCATGTAATGCCTTTTTTCCTCTTTGTTTTGTGATCACATGATTTGTTATGTTGATGTAATAAACTGAGTTGATGTGCATCAAAGTTTTAGTGGAAAAAGAGTCCTCATCTCCGCCGAACAGCAGCGTTGACGGCACACCTGCTGAAAGTGGTATGAAAGAAAATGACGGAGATGTGCGAAGTAAGTGCAGAAAAGCAGCGTCAATTTCGTGCACAACTTGAACAGATTACAACAGGTAAAGCTGTCAGCTGTGTGGACATGAACAATATCATAATTCTCGTTTATAATCAATACTGATATGGCTTCTTTAGTCTTTAGTCTAAATGCTGTGCTCTGTTAGTGTGAGAAGTTCATATTATCTGAACAATAATCGCAATACGCTTTGTGCTCTGTTACCTTAATAAAGTATCAGCTTTAAAATTCTGCCAAATTCATAATGAATTTCAAACAATAAATACAGTTTTGGCACTCTTTAATGTGGCATGAGCGATCGCTTTACAGTTCAAGTGGCACGTGAACCCATCAGATCTTTCTCTTTACTACTGTAGTACAAAATAAACATGAATGAACATCAAAAGCTATATTATAAAATGGCCTACAGTACAACTTCCTGAAATGTCTCATGAAATCGCTCATTCAGTGTTTCAAACTGCGGAAAACATGTAAAGTAAAGAAAAGTAAATGTAACGTTCTGTGTTCAACAGAAGAAAGAAAGCTTGTAAGTAGGGTTGTGACGGTGAGGAAATTTTCCCACCGGTTAATCGACATGTGACAACACCGGTAATACCGGTATCACCATTGGGGTGGGGTTAGTTCGTTTGAGTTTCCCTTTTCTTCGCTTTCAAATGGCTTGTAAAAGTGCCGTGCGCATTTTACTTTCACTTTCAAATTAGCAGCAATTGAATTGCCGCAATTCGGCGTCAAGCAACTGTTCGTTTGAGTTTTTCCCACTTTTCCTTGGATTTCTTGGCTTTAAAATAGCTTGAAAAAGCGCTGTGTGCATTTTACTTTCACTTTCAAATTAGGGGCAATTCAGCGATGATTCAATTCAAGCAACAACAACGTCAAACTCAGAACTTTTATTAACAAAACGAATAAAAATACACCATATAGGCCTATGCCTAATAAAATAACAAATTTCTTAAAATAAAATAAATAAAATACACAAAGTTTAAATAAAGTAATCAGCAAACACTGTGGAACCAAATAAATAAGAAACTGTTTAAAAAAAACTTCCAGTCAATAGGCTTTTCAAAATCTAAAATATCACCAAACAGGAGCCTTTGCATTTCCTTTCTAAACAATCTTTTGCCATTGTCTTGTCTTTCTCACCTCACCCTTGTCAGTCAGCTCGACTCACTCTCCTCACGTGATAAATAAAATCTGACTCCTGCTTCGTGGTGCACTGTCATTCGCGCATGGTTCGGCACGCTGCATTGAGCGTTTAGTTTTTAAAAGTGTCTGTCCTGTAACTGAACTAGGCTAAATTATTTTTGTTACTATAAAAAAATCCAAACGACGGAGGGGGGCGGTGCCGCGGTAGGCAACTGACGTATCCGGAGTTGCGGCTTAACACCGATATAACCGAAAACACCATCTATCGCAGCAAGCCTACTGTAATCAATGCCACGTAACAATACATTTACCTCAGAATAACCATTCGGCATCCATAAGCTCATCAGTCAGCTGGAAAAAATAACTATAAAGAAGAGTATTTTGCTAAATTTATGCTCTATATTCAGAGTTTTACATAACCTGTTGTCTACATGATAAGAAAAAATACAAGGAGCTAAAGATAAAATTCAACACCATCATAAATTTCATGTTACAAATTAAGAAAAAATGTGTGCAAGACATATTACAACAATCATAGGATGCATTGAGGAGGAGCCCAAACTATATTTTCTTCAACAAAAACAAAAAAAAAACAAAAAGGAGAAAATTATAGACATTTTCAGGGTTAAACTCAGTGTTGAGTTCAGGTCCATTCTGACCCAGAAGAGATACATAAAAATGTCTAAAAACAGCATAGTTTTTAGTAAGAGAATGAAACTTTGCAAGCATTTGATACATTATTTTCTACGAGTCATAACAGTCTCATAACAGACAAAGTTGCTGATCAGATACGATATGGTTTTATTTGAAAAATATTAAGTTATGACTGATTTATAAAACAACGATTCTTGATTAAACAAAACAACAACAAAAAAACTGGCAGACTAACTAACACTATTTTGTCAACGTGACTTTGTTTCCAGACAGACTGAAGCAAAAAAAACCTGAGTAAATGCAGCCAATCAGAGCAACGTTTACTAGATCAAGAAAGCAATTCCCGGTTTTGCATGTAAAATGCATCAGACGTTTAGCGTGCGGACTGTGAGTGGGTGGCCGAAGCTACTTGTTATGCATCTTCTTGCATATTTATGCAAGTGCTCAGAGCTCCTGAAAACCAAAACAAATTCCATGTGAGCAAATAAAGCTCCTTCAGATGTTTGGTTTGGCTTCATGAAACTGAAAAGTGTATACAGTACATAAAAATACTTTTATTTCCATGATAACTGTACAGTTAGTTTGGCATGTGTGCTAAACTCGTGTGTGGCCGACCTAGTCTTATTTACACACACGCTGAAACTAAACTGCACAAACAAGTCATTCAGAAATCATTATGATTCTGGCATCACAACATATGACTCTGCAACAAGGTTTGATGACAAACAGCACAACTGCCGCTGTAAAACAACCATGAACTAAGATCTAAACGGCTCTAAACAAACTCAAAATTCCCCTCACGAGCGGCTGATAAAGGCACTATTATCATGACTAATGTCACGCAGATGTCAGAGAACCAACAAGGTTTGATGACAAACAGCACAACTGCCGCTGTAAAACAACCATGAACTAAGATCTAAACGGCTCTAAACAAACTCAAACTTCCCCTCACGAGCGGCTGATAAAGGCACTATTATCATGACTAATGTCACGCAGATGTCAGAGAACGCTGAGAAATCCAGAGTAGGGATGGGCATTCCAAGCAAAAATAATATTCGAAAATCGCTAGGTATTATTCGAAAATTGCACCCCTCCCCGCATGCACGCACAGACACCCCATAAACAGAGAGAGAGACGGGATTCACACTTTCAATCTGTATGATAAACTGTTTAATTCAGAAGATAGGCTATTAACTCAAGCCGTATAATGATCGTAACGTGCTGAAACATATTAATATAATAAACATAACTGAATGATGGCACTTATTAACATAACAGTCCGTCGATTAGCATAAATCAACTGCTCATAAGGCTAGGACATATCCATTTAAAAAAATGTAATCCCTAAAGGGAACAGATACGAGATGGGAGGAAAAATATACTTCAATATCTTCTGTCGCAATTATATCGTTGGGTAATTATACTGTATGTAAACTGCGGGCATCAAGGAGTCGTTATTAATATGCGGGGCATTGAAATATCAACGCGCGCTTGTTTTTTACTTTCACTTTCGAGATTCGCGATCACACGTACGGAGCAGCACTCGGCAGTACTTACCACACATTTTACAAGATTAGATGTTTGTCAGTGGTGCTTAGGATCTGCAAATCATTCGTCATCATCCTATCAGTCATCTCTCCTTACCCTGTTTATGTGGTAAGTAGGGATATGCCGGTATCAAATTTTCATGTTGCGATTAATTGCTAATGCTTTTATCATGGTATATGGTATTATCACAATATTTAAATTTTGTTAAAAAAAAGTGCTGTCATAATACAGTATAACAGGTTTAATAACTTTTTTCTTATAACAAAAATAACTGAACATTTACGAATACCGGCACAAGTCTAGTGGTAAGTGAAATGTTATGTACTGTAATGTAACAGGCTAACGTTAGCAAGTGGCTAACCATGGCCCTTTAGTGGCTCCGTAGAACGCGCTATTTGTTTTCCGCGCCTTTCTGAATACGGATTCAGCCACACCTCTAACACAGTCGGGGGTGTTTGTGGTCCACACAGAGCTCGTATTTGACATCGTCCCAAATGACTGTAACCATTATATGCTACGCAAGTCTTATTTTATGCCACGCAAGTCTACAGTGTGCACTTAAGACAGTGTGTTCTTCTGTTGTCTTTGACAGATTTTAGGTGCGTTATTGGCAGCGCCACATGAACGCGTCACCACCGCATCAGCACGGAAAACATGGGAAAATTTTTTAAGACAATAATCGCACAACCTATTCGATATTCTAGAATTAAATCAACTAATCGAATATTCGAAAATCGTGACCCATCCCTACTCCAGAGCGAGCCAAACTAATCCTGACGTCCAGTGCTGAGTCGGCATCAGATTAAAGCACAGAACAACACAGAGAACGCAAACACACATTATGGCACGCTTCACCGAGGAAATACTACACATTCTGTCCTCCATTTCCACAGCCCAGAACATCAGGAATATCAGATGGAATGCTGTAATTTTCTCCTGCCTGATTCCAGTAATTTACACAGAGCAAAAGATATAAATAGATGAGGGGGAGAGATCAACCCTGGGTTCAGAGCAAAGACTGCAACCAATATGGCCTCTTTATGAC